CTTTGACCACCAAAATCTAATCAGTTCATCCTGGAGTAATAAATATAATATAATATAATATGGTAAATAACTGTTTGTGCCAAAGTTGAAGAAATTCCCTCAAGGCGTTACTGAGAGAGATCACGAAAGTGGGACAACCTGAAAACATAAAACTTCCCGTCCTGGCTGTCACCAGCATGGAGGCATAAAAAAAACTAAGCTAACGTAACTAAACTATCTGATCATTTGTTTGACACTTCTTTAAACTTCTCCTTTTTAAAATGTAAATATTACAAAAGATGCAAAACTTATCCAAGAAAAGTTGAATGGAGGGAAACAGGACTCGGTTGTAGATACCTGAAGACGTTTGTGAAACGATGAGTGGTATAGATACAGTAATGGGTAGACGGTAATATTCTCTTAGCTTTACTCTAAATGTAACTGTTCTTTTTTTCAGTGTATCCTGCCATTTCCCAACCTTATTATGAAGTTTTATATATTTGCTGTCATTAGGTCCCAGATAAGCTGTTGTCAGGTGGAGCAGAATTTGTAGCTGCTTCAGGAATTACAGCAGTGTTGAGTTTTTATTAAAAACGCATCTATCTATCTTAAGACTGTCAACTTGCTTTTGCATATCAGTTCACTCAGTCTGGGGTCCTGACAACAAAGTTTAGAAACTCTACTTGAATCCATTCTTCTCAGACTTACTCCCATCCACAATAAACAGCACACAGACTGAGTCAGTGGAGTGAAACGCACTTTTGTTCTTTGTGCTGCTCTGCTGTTTTACTCTCCTTTTGTTCTCCTCACTTGTACTGTATTTCCTCCTTTAGCTAAATGTGCTAAATATTGCCCCAGATGTCAGTAATGAATCCTGTAGCACAGAGCCATGAAACTTAGTCGACACCCAGGTGATTCATTTCAAGTCAGAAAATAAGCTCAGGACTGGGGTTTGGAGGTTTTCAGCAGCGTGTTTGCAGTAGAACAGACACACACTTGGGAGGTTTTTCTTATTGTGAAAGCAGCTGGTTGTCTGTCAGTGTCCTGTATTTCTGCTGTCTCTGCACCACCTGTGACTTTAGCAGAGACCCGCACAGCTACACCCAAACACACACACCCACAAACACACACACGATACAGATGAAGAACTCTGCACCACTGCACATGACACCATCGCTTTCTCTTTCTGATTTTGTCATCCTCATGCCATCTCTTAGACACACTCTTACACACACACAGACACACACACAAACACACACACACTGTTTCCTCCAATACACACGGGTGTGCAGACGACAGCCAGATGCCGACACCCCACAGGGCCACTCCCCTCCATCAGCTGCTCCTCCCACAGCAGCAGGTAAGCAGCCTTCAGCATCCGCTCTGTCAGAGGTGGACCTCTGGAGTGTTTAAGTCCTGGACACAGGCCAAACACACACACACACACACACACACACACATACATGCAGAGTCATCAAGGGAGGCCAGGCCTGTAGCCGTGTGTGTGTGTGTGTGTGAGAGAGAGAGCACTGTGTCAACACAGTCACAAAATTCATGATGTGTGCAAGAATCTGCCCGAGGGAGATAGAAAATATGTGTGCGCCTGTGAGTGTTTATGTTGCATTTCTGTTCTTATGATCAGAAGCAAACGTCCTCAAACTGACACACAGCACAGATAGAAGAAGAAAAGTCCTCCAAAGTGAAGAAATGTTTAAGGGATTTTTCTGTGTTTAGAGCTGTACGACTTCAGGAGTTCAGTTTAGGTGAGAGTTATAGCTACACTACACGGTATAAGCCTTCAGGGCTCAAGTACATCATAGGAGGAGAGCGTCCCATCCCATCATGTTTATCTTATTTGTTTGAAATAAATTCTGGTGATCTATCCCTCACCAACTTCAGTGATGAATAAAAAATGAGAACGTGCTCCCTTCAGAGGCAGCCAGACTCACCAACATTAGATCTTTGTCTCTCTTGTGTCCCTTTCCTTTGGTGTTACACATCAAAAGCTGATTCGATGACTTACTTGATTTTGGTATTTTACAGTAACATGAACATCGATAGTTAAAGTGACAGTCCTGACATTAGAGACCATCAAGTCTGATGATAATGATGAAGAAAAATATAATTTCTCTTCGTTTACAGACGTAGATTTAAGATTTGATTAGTTTAGCCAACCAATGGACACAGGCCCACTACGACCTGCAAGGTAAGGGTCATGTGACAGAGGCAGCCAAAGGCGTCGTTGCTTTTTGAAAGTCTAAAAGATAATGTGACTGAAAGTCTGACCTCTGTTTACTCGGAAAAAAAACAGTAACTTAGCTAAATTCGAATGTGCAGTATTAATCGGTGCAAAATTTTTTTACATGAAAAAACAATTATAATGATTCTCTCCACAATATATTACATTACAGCTTTTATGAATATTCATGCAGTAAACATCCATTTAACTAAATCCTCTTAGTGCATGACTACAAATTCTGTTACAGCTGAACTGTTGCAGAATTAAACGTGGCAACTCAGGATGAGGAATTCATTCATTAATTCAAATACAAGGTTCTACTGTAGTAAAAAGACAACAAACACCTTTTTTCAATAATTATTTAGCACGAAAAATGTGTCCAACACTTTTAATGAAAACTCAGATTGACATTGCCAGACCCAGCTGGTGGGATGTTTACTGACTTACTGACTGACTTGCTGTGTTCACACCCACAGTCCAGTCTGCGGTTAGGTTTATGCAACAGAAGCACTTTGGTTAAGGTTTGGGAAACATCATGGTTTTGGTAAATATAAATAAACAGTTTGTGTCTCAAGTCACTGTGAACTTTTTCTGTATTAAACCAGATCAAGATCTTTCCCGAACCTTACCTGTATCGTGTTACTGATATGTCCAATATCAGCATATTCGCATGCTGCCAAATACTGTATGTAAATCAACAACAAACTGCTGAGTCATATACAGGGGAAAAAAAAGCACTTTTCAACCCTCTGTCTGTCTTCTGTACATTTGTGTTGTTAGCTTACAGGCTAGCCACCAATACATCCTAGAGTCACCTGGCTTTTGTTGACTTTACTGTCAAGGAAATTGTGCCAGCCTTGCTACATCGCACCCACCATGTGTTGTTTTCTGTGTCCTTGTGTGAAATACAAGCCACAATGTGAGAATGAAGCAGCTTTGAGGTTGATGGAAGCTGTTTTTTTTTTTTGTTTTTTCACTTTTGAGCTAGACCATCGGTTCCCCGCTGCTTCCAGTGTTTGCTAAACACATCCTTGATCAACTTCTGTTCTACATGGATGAAGACTGAGTTGATATTGAAGTTATATAGACGGTGTTTCCCAAAATGTTAAAGGTTCATGTGTGAGTGTGGATGACGTAAGCACATAGCTCTTCTGTTGTGACGGTGGGAGAGCAACATGCTCTTCGTCATGGTATTAATTATATGGACTTTTTTTTTTTTCTTTAAGTATTTAAGGGTTGTTAGTATTTGAGTGTTTTGTGTCAGGCAGATTTTGAACAGAGCCATCTGCTTCTGCTTTTCTCCACCAGCCCTCCCCCTCTGTTCTTCTATTTAACACTCAGCCAGTATTTCCTCAGAGACAACTTAGCCAACACATTCATGATGAGAGGAAGAATTAGCAGCCAATTACAGTCAGACTCAGCTCTGGATGTGGAGCTTGAAGGTTATTGGAATAAAGTTTAATGCCGGGTTTCACTGCAAAACTAAAAAGTTCTTTATATCCGAGAGAGGTCTGGGTAGGATAATTCTCTATTTCCTCTTCCTCACCGTCCCCTCCTCTTCCTCACTCTATTTTCTTCCTTATTGTGACTCTTCAGGTCTAGACAGTGTTTCAAATATCCATTTTGCTTCAATTTTCTATAACAACAAAAACACAGTTCATGACAGCTTTTCCACTCTCTGGATGACTGAAGGTTTTTCCAAGTTTCAGATTAATCTGCAGGGAGACCTTTGCTCTCGGAGTGGTGAAGATCAGCAGATGGTCTCTTGGCAACGACCAAAAGAAGCCACGGGAGCAAACAGATAGACTGAATTTGATTTACTCAGTGAAAGGACTAATGCTTGGCTCTCGGTGCATCCTTATCAGTTACTTTTAGAGCTGTCTGTTTAGATCTTCAATAGTGGCTCGGGTGCTTCATACTTGAGGTATGAATTTTAGATGTGGCTGGATTGCATTAAGACACTTTTGGATTGACTTTGATGACTGTGACTAAACCGTGAATATATAAATAAAAGAGCGAGACCAGGTCAGATCGGAGTGTATGGCCGCACTGTGTGTGGTCAACGTGAGGATGTAGCTGAGAACTTCTGCAGAACCACTTTAAATAACTGCTTTCAATGGAAAGTAGCTAAAACCTGCAGGAAAGGTCACTAAATGTCACCAGATGACGTAATGCGCGAATTAGCATTATTCATAAATTCAGTATAGTTTAAATTCAGTATTCAGACACAGTGTTTTAAAACAACAGAATTTCCAATAAAGCTGTTCTCAGCTCACGTTTTTCTGTTTCTGTTACCAGACAACGGAACAAGTTTGAAAACTGAAGCTCGGCCCCATTAACACTACATGTTAACCAGCTGTCATTTCCAGGGCCATTCGTGTGGCAATACTGATATATTATGTTTATTTTTGGCCCCATTTGATATGAACAACCATGTTTTCCTCCACAGTGCAGTGATTTCTGCCTGGATGGGCCCCTTCATCCACCACATTCATTTGTCATAAATACAGTACATACTTTTTGCCACTGGTTATTCCAAACTCTCTTATACTTTTCTACCAAATAACTTTTAAGGGTTTACAATTTTACAACACAAAACTCCTGATATAACTTAGTATAACATTTTAACTCATTTGTTTTCTGGTCTGAAAGTTTTAATTTAATTTGAATAATGATTATTGATTATTATTGGGTGTTCGGAAGCAGTGAAATGACCATCAGATTTTGGTGTCATGCCTCTCCATGTCCGTCTTTCCCCTCCTCAACCTCTTCATCTCTGCAGGTCGTGGGACGAGTTCCATGACTGTGCTAACGTGGCGATGGCTGGCTGTCCAGAGGAAGCGGCAGCTGTGTGGGAGTCTCTCCGCCAAGAGTCCAAAAAGATGCAGTTCTCTGGAAACCTCTACGACATGTGCTCCAACCGAAACAGCCACCCAGTAGCCTCAGTCTCCCCACACGGTTCACCCGGCCAGGAAGAGATTAACCAGGAGTCTCTAAGAGGGCGTGCGGATCATCTGGCAGGATGCCTCCACTTTCTCATGCTGCTGTCTCCTCTGCTGCTCTTGTTTTTTTGGATATAATTACCCCCAAAGAAATGGGACTAATGTGAATAGATATAAACTCTGTGTATTTTTTCCCTCCACAAGTCCATAGACTTTCCACTGTTTTTTTTCCTCTGCTCTGCCAGGGGGTGAATACTTCTAACTGCATGTTCAGAGGCCCGACAGTCTTTTTGATAATGTATCTTTAAACTGCCTGTGCCGTTTCATGCATATTCTCTGCCTTTAAATTAGTCGCTCTGTTGCAAACACACACAAAATTTATACAGAGCTACACGAGCCACTGTACAAACAGGCCTGCAAACACATGCATAGTTAAACAGATGCAAACAGCAGCCTCGTGTCATCTGTCCTTATCTCCTATCCCCCTACATCTACTCAGTATGAGCTCGTGTCTGATGGTTCCAGGGGGAGTCTGTCTTCCTGAGTGTAATAAGAGAGATATAATAACAACGTCTGACTTAATAAACCTGAAAACTAAGTGATGAAGATGCCAGATGCCACGAGTAGTTCCAGCTGAACTCATTTATGTATTATCTTCACAGAATGAACCATTTGATGGATGGTGAATCTAACGGGCCTTGCGCTTGGATTCTGAATGCTGCACTAAGTCTCTATTTGGTTAACTTTTCCCCATTCTTTTCCACTTCATTTTCCTTTCTGGTCTCTGAACACCACCACTGTTGGAGCTCCCATCGAAAGTTTAGCAACAAACTTTAACAGAATTTCGACAATCTGCAAAAGAACATGCAATTTACTTGCTGTGCAAATATAGTTTACAAATACTCCCGTCATTTTCAGAATTACTAGGAAAAGCCCAACGTCCATGAACATAAAATTGAGTAGGACTCCTACCAATGTTACTCTCCTCCAAAATTCAGGCTAGTGGGTGCTCATAAAACCACACCATGTTTCCCTAAATGTACAGGTTCTTAGCTAATACACATAGTAGTGTAAATTGGCCCTGGATTTTATGAAGAACTAGATATGTTTTAAGCTGTGTTTGAGAAATAACATCATCTAAGGGAATATAAAATATCCAAGCTGTCAGAAACCGCAACATGGCTCCTGCAATAATATTCCTCATACTGAACATGTGCTGGCTCATAGGTTCATATAGGACTACCAAATCTGAATTAATCAAAGATAATGGAGAAACATTTGCATAAAGTCTCAACTGCAGCGCTGGAAAGAAATATATATAATATTTGCTGAGAGACTAATATAATAACATGGAACATACACTTGTTTTCCTTTATTTTGAAAATTAAACAGTGAGCATCGTCATGGATCTCTTATTTGCCATAACGGCTTCCTCTGCAGCTGCTGCAGCAACATGAGTTTTGAGCTGAAGTTAAAGTGAACTCAGAGTTCTGCAGCTGTTTTTATTTGGTGCTTGCCCAGGTATGAAATCCTCCGAGGCGCCTCCTTGGCATCCTGCACTGTAGCCATACAGTATGAGACCAATATGTTCTCCAGTCAGAATCACAATCCTCGCGCATGCCAAGTGTATTTCATGCTCCAGGACTCGCAGTTTGGCCCCGCAAGGCCCGCTGAAACTGCTTGTTATTCTAAGTGGCAGCAGGTAACAGTTGTTTCTGTCTGGCCCAGGATCAGAAATACTATCAGATTAGAGAGAGGAAGAGAGAGAGACAGAGAGAGAGAGAGAGAGAGAGATGAATACACCTTGTTGAGGATTGAATCCACCTGTCTACCAGTGAGTGTGTTTTACACAAGGGGCTTTAGGTTGTAGATTTACTTTTCTTTCTTCACAAAAAATAAATCAAAGCCGGGCCGACTTTAAAGAGTTACGCTCGAATGTGAAGAAGCACAAAACAAAATCCTCAAAGGCTGCAACAGTGCGCTCACTTTAAGAGCGGTGGAAATAAAAAAAATTGATTAGACAAAGAAATCCGAAGAGGGTTGTGCTTCACCTTAAGAACTGAGTGAGCCTATCTACCTTGCCAGTGGCAAGTTCATTAATCATACCTACACGGTTGAAATAAACAGCGAGGTATAGGAAGCAGACTTTAACACAGGTATATACAGTAGTGTTTGGTTTGGGACCTCAATGTCGATTCTTTCCACACAAAAGCTCCATTTGAAATAAACCTTTGACCAACATTCAACACTGACATTTAAACACTGACCTGGCTTTAACTCAATCAAACGTTGAGAATAAACCCAGTCGCTATAAGAGCCCAACGGCAGAAAACACTGTGAGGTAAAAGTGCAAGGCTGGGAGTACTGAGCAAAAATAAAGAGTGAAAAATGGAAAGAAAAATCTCTAATCAGCCAACAGCTATTTTTTTTTTTTTTTTTTTTAATACATAAGGGACTTCAGCCAGAGATACGCTTGGAAGGTTTAAAGAGGCTGCTCTAGTTGTGAACTTTAATTAAAGTGACAGAATTAGAAATTAGAGGCCTCAATGGCTGATTCACCAAGGTGCAGCAATTTGAAAACTAACTCTGTCGAGCTGAGATAAGATGTTGTCACCAGAGGCTAAATCTGAGTAAATCACAAATTTGAGGCTACACAGAAAAAATCTGATTGGACGTGTTTGTGTAAATCCAGGCCTAGAGTGAGTTCAGTCATCATAACCTCACCAACCATCGTGTTATAGCAAAATAACTCATTCAGATTTGATTTTAAAGTCTGCCGTGTGCAGAGGTGTTGTGGTCTCAAACACAAAAGAACTCATGAAATCTCTTTTATGAGAAGATATGTTTCATGTAAGGTTTGTGGACAAATCCGATTTCAGAGTGGTTCCCAATAACGCAGCAGTGTAAATGCAACGTTATTGACCGGAGCACAGCAGGGAATTATTTTCCAGCACCACATTTGAGATGGTGCATCTCTTCGCCTCCAGCAAAAGCTCGGTGCTCTGACAAATAGGTTAAATTGGACAGAAAGGACTGCAGGAGAAGGAGACACACTCTTAAACACCGATACATCATTGTCACATTAATGGTACAGTATATTTGGTGTTATTACTATGAACAAATGACTGGTAGCCTCTATATCACGCTATTGTTAGATTGCATTTTGTATACACCTTTTGCTTTTGATGTCACGTACCACTTATTTCTCCCCCCTCCAAGATGCTCTTGGTTTCCTTTTTCTCTGCTGAAGAAAAAGATTCACACCCCTGAAATTCACAGGACATGATTCATTTGATTGTTTCACTAGAGACAACTCCTCACTCTGTCTTGTTGAGGTGCAAAAACACACACACACACACACACACACACACACACACACACACACACACACACACACACACACATGCAGAGAGTGTGTTACCCAGATAGATGACAAAACTTTCATGTCAGTTGTAAAGAATTCACGAATAATTAACGAACTAATTTACATTCTGTTAACATCCGTCACTTTGACTAGTCAAAGCAGCGGTCAGGGCTAAAAATGAGAAGCCTGCTAAAGTTACCTGAATGTTTCCTGTTCCTCCTGTTCCTGGCTCTTCGCTAATTAAACAGATTGAGGAGGGAGAAAAGGTTCAATAAGAGATTTGTTGGATTTAGAGTTTAGCAAATCCTGGTATGTTGACATCATGTTGAGCCATAATTGAAACAGCTATCAGAACTTAAAAGGAGAGAACCTCGTTGTGCCACAGAGCAAACCAATAAATCCTCTAAATCCAGCCCACTGGTGCACCGTGTAAAAACACAGTGTAGAGGCTGATAGACGCTCCTCTTCTCAATGCTAATCTTCGCAGCAACTGTTGTTTCTACGTTAAAGAGATTGTTCAACATTTACTCAAGTAGGTGTCGAGGGTTCCCCGGGTAATGCCCAGTATTTCTGTGCAGAAACAAATTGTTGTTTTTAAATTTCTGCTTCTGCACAAATTAAATAAATGAGATACAGCATGTTAATTAATGAGTGTTGGTAGGTGTATTCGTGGACACTGAACAGAGCCGTGTCATGTTAGCTAAGCTGAGCTAAACACATCCTGACTCCAGCTCTTAAAATACCAATACAGAGAGATGAGTGTAGTGTCTATCTTCTTATAAAACTCTTGAAAAGAAAGCAAATAATAATCCCCAATATGTTGAACTATCTCTTTGAAGCACATAACACCTTAAATGCAGCGGTCGAACCAAAAGAGAGAAGGCGTAATATCAAACACAGGACGTTCTCAACCTGAGGTTCAGAGTCTATCAGCCACGGAAATCATTCAGCTGCACTGTGTGCTTCAATCCAGGTCTATTTTTCCATCAGCAGGTCACCTGGGTTTTGCTGTGAATAATTACAGACCCCTCCAACTCAACAGCGCTTTAGCAAGTAACTTTTGAATTTGAACAAGCAGAAGTTCGGCTGGGTGAAATGTGGCAGATGGCAATGTGAAAAATGTATGACATTTTGACCAGAGTACAGCGAGGATCAGACTCGAGGAAAGAAAGGCAAACTCTCACCTGAGCACCGGATTCATATACTCGCCTCCAGCAAGTTTCTGTGTTTTAATGCTCAAAGTTCAAACCTGTGGCTTCCCGGTTTTAATTACTGATAAGACAAAAGAGAAATTACAAGAAACTGAAAACTTGGGAGAGTAAAGTACAAGATAAGTGTAACTCTGACCTCCAGTATACACCACAGAAGATGCTTTTTGGGAAGTTTGGGGAGAGTGATGATAGGAAATAATTCTGCTTTTTCCCTTCTTATCTTAAATTTATTGCTTATATGAAGGAAGAAGATAGTATAGAAATGAATCTAAAATCCTCCTCCCTTCATTTACACACACACACACACACACACACACACACACACACACACACACGCGCGCGCGTACATACACTGCTCAAATAAATTGAAAGAACTGTTTCTAAATATCAGTCTTACAAATCACTGTTTTATGACAAGAAATGCACAGATTGTCAATGAGTAAAGTCGCATCACTGTGTATAGTGTGAATAATTACAGCTCTATGAATATCAGTGTAAATAGCAGTATTTCATATGTATATAGACAATGTCATATATGCCCTGCAAGTGCTACTTTTAAAGCT